CGTAAAGCTAAACTATAGCCTTTATTGGATTTCACCGGTTTTCCACAAATGTCCTTTTTGTTGATTCAGTCCAGTTGCTGTGTCTCTTAGTTACCTTATTTTTATTTTTTTAATGATGAAAATAATATGTTTATTGAAAAAATTAAAATAAGTAGTCTATAAAATAGAAAAGTGAGGTTTGTTCTGTCTTATTCCCTTCTGATCATATTCCCCAGAGATACGGCTGTTAACAGTTTGGTGAGCTTTTCAAGACTTGTAAAATATGTATATTTACAAGTATCTAAATATGTTCATATAAATTTTGTTTTTAAATAGAAAAATCATCCTAGATATTGCTTTGCAATTTTTTCACTTGACAATGTCATGAATATTTATACATGTGTATATAAATATATGCATATGTATGCATTTATGTATATTTATGCTTTCACTTTTTAAATCATTCCCCTGTGGGGAAATTTGTTTCCATTTTTTCTCTAACGTTAGTGGTATCACAGTGAACACTGATGAATGTACAATGATACACACTCTGTGTGTGTGTATACACCTATGAATATTTTTGTAGGAAGAGCCTTAGGATCAAAGGTTAAATGGACTTTAGAAGGCTATATCAAATTATATTCTTATTAAAAATGTTCAAAAAACAAATTGAAACTTGAAATAAGGAAAATGAATTACTGCATGTTCTTTCAATGTCACACTAGAACAATGCTTCTCAAAGTATGGTCCAGGGACCTTTGAGGGTGTCCAAGACCCTTTCATGAATCTGGGAAATTGAAACTATTTTCATAATTCTAAGACGTTATTTGCCTTCTTCACTCTCATTTCTTTTATGAATGTGTGGTGGAGTTTTTAAAGGCTACGTGATGTGCAATGCTGTCATCACTATGACAGCTAATGAGAAGTGTGCTTCTGTTCTCGTGTTTTCTAGGATTTTCTAAGGTGGTAGGTTGAAGATATACACATATGAGTTTTTAGAGATTAACTTAGGTTGTTCTTAGTACTTTTACGGTACTCTTATTAATAAGCTAAATTTGGTTATCCCTGCTGTAGTCTCTGTAACCTCTGTAATTGTTATCATCAATGAATTGTTATTTTAAAATCCCAGTGATTTGCAAAACCTTAAAACAATGCCACTCAGCTCACTAATATTTTTTGTATTGGAAAATAGAGGGTTTTAAAAAAATTTTATGTTAATATGTAAATGGATTTATTGTTTTTAAGTGAATTAATATGTTTAAATTTTGCTAACTTCTACTGCTATGGATATTAATAGACATAACCCACACAAACAAAAGCTCTTGGAGATCCTCAATAAGTCTTAAGAGTGAAGAAGTCCTGAGACCAAAATGTTGGGGAAACCACTGTACTAGACTGTTGACTAACAAACCTACCTAAACGTTAACTGACACATTTCGTTTGTGATTGATTAGGTCCCAGATTCTGTAAAGCCTGGTGTTAGCTTGTACCATCTTGATAAGCTGCAAATGATTTTTATTGGGTAGAGTAACCTGTTGTTTTTCTCTGGTAGGAAAGAGGTTATGATTGTTTAGCTTTGTAGGACATTAACCACTTTAGCATCCAACTTTGTAATCTTACCCCAGCATCCTTTGCTGGTGTCTCTTTTGTCATCCTTCAAGGTCCTTTGGTAATAAGTTAAATAAATCTTTTGACCTGCGCTTGCTATGTTATGTTTCCAACTTCTTGAAAATCATTCTGTGACAAGTACATGAGAGTTTCTGTTTACCCATGCTCTTACCAATGTATTACAAATCTTTTTACTGGTTTTGCTAATGCATGAAATGTGCCAGTGTGTAACACTTAAGTACTTAGGGTTAAAAAAAGAATTGAAACATTTCCTCAGAGTTCACTTGGGGCTTGGCAATCAGGTACCTAAGGAGGATGTGAGACTGTGAGAAGGACGAGGTGACGCTGGCTTCCCTTTCCATACCCCGGGGCGCTGGTTGGGGAGGTGTGCCTTTCCTTTAAATACTCCTAGCCCCTGAGCTGGTCCTGTCAGCAGCCCCCAGTCCAGAGCAGTAGTAGTGTGGTCCCCAGGGCTGGACCCTTAGACTAACACAGGTTATATTTAGATGACCTTGTCGAGAGACAAGAACATCTGTAAACAGCAAATGTAGTCATTTTGTTACTCTGTTAGGTGAGAGAAAGACATCTTTTTTTTTCGCCTTTGTATTCTGTGAATTGCCTGTTCTAATTCTTTATTTTCCTGTTGGTTGCTTGTCTTTTTCTTTTTGATTTGTAAAAACACTTTGTTATAGATATCAATCTTTCATTAAATATTTCAGTCCCTTGCTAGTATTTTAATTTTCAGGAATGTTTAATCTAGTACTTTTTCTTTGATGGCTTTGGGGCTTTGTGTCACCCCAAAATATATATTGTTTTTCTTCTAATACTTGTGATATTATCCTTTGGTCTTTCATCTATTTTGCATATGGTATGAGACAGGAATTGCTTACTTTTTAAAAAATTTCCCGATTTTGTAGAACTATAGAAGAGTATCTTAGTATCTTTTTTTATTTTTGCTCTAATCCCTTTATTTTTATAGGTAAAATGGTTTACCTTCTTGATACTACCTTCTAGGTTTTGTGCTCTACAGAAGGCTTTCTGTTTTTTGTTTGTTTGTTTGTTTTTTGAGGAAGATTAGCCCTGAGCTAACATCCACCATCAATCTTCCTCCTTTTGCTGAGGAAGCTTGGCCCTGAGTTAATATCTGTGCCCATCTTCCTCCATTTTTTTTTTTTAATATGTGGGACGCCTGCCACAGCATGGCTTGATAAGCGGTGCTAGGTCTGCACCCAGGATCCGAACCAGCGAACCCTGGGCTGCCCAAGGGGAGCACACGAACTTAGCTGCTGTGCCACTGGGATGGCCCCTGTTTTTCTTTTCTTTAAAAATGATGATACCATATAAGAGGAAGCAATCCATTATTATTATGTAATTTCACAGTTAGTGATTTCTTTTTAATATCTTAAGGTCAGAGTTATTTAATCAAGGCTAGCTTTTCTTCCTTCCTATGCTCTTTTCCATTTTCTTAAAATGACTGAAATTGCTTCCTTGTTGTATTGAAGTGGTAGCCAGCCTCCACTTCACAAATTCTGATTTTACACAATTAAAGATTGTTGGCCCTAACCACTAAGCTATCTGAAGATAACCAATAATTAGGGCCTTTTTTATGTTACAGTAACTGCTCATATTTTTGTCCCTTCTCACCAGACTGTGGCCTTCGTATATCTTGAGAGAATTAAGTCATCTATCACTATTTTGCTTAAGAGCTTCTGAGACACGTAAAAGTACCTAAGGTAGACCAGTGAATATTTTTTGTTTATTTTGTGGTTAGCATGAGGTTTATATAAAAGACCTCATAGATGAGATAGTCCTTTTTCTGCTGATGGCATCTTATTTCCATTAGCCCAAGCAGGTTCTGTCCTTTTCCTCTTCCCCTTCTATGTTTTTGTTTTCACAAATTATTCTTCTTTGTATGGTGAGTTTGTTATCAAATTAAACTGGTAATAGTTATTTTTGATGCTTTCTTTCCCTTTAGGCTTTATGTTATAATTCAGTGTTTACTAATTTATTCTGATATAGAGCTGCAATCTTCTGATTTTTTGTTTCAGGTGAGAGAGCTCCTTTCAACATTTCTTGTAAAGTAGGTCTAGTTTCAATGAACTCTGTTAGCTTTTGTCTGTCTGGGAAAGCCTTTATTTCTCCTTCATACCTGAAGGATAACTTTGCTGGATAGAGTATTCTTGGCTAATAGTTTTTTTGTTTTGTTTTGTTGTTTTGAGGAAGATTAGCCCTGAGCTAACATCCGTGCCCATCTGCCTCTACTTTATATGTGGGATGCCTACCACAGCATGAGTTGTCAAGAGGTGCCATGTCTGCACCCGGGATCCGAACCAGCGAACCCCAGGCCGCTGAAGCGGAATGTGCACACTTAACCGCTGTGCCACTGGGCCAGCCCCATTGGCTGATAGTTTTTGTCTTTCAGCATTTTGAATCTATTATTCCACTCTCACCTAGCCTATAGAGTTTCTGCTGAGAAATCCACTGACATATCAGCTGAGGAGGGTTCCTTTGTAAGTTATTTTCTTCTCTCTGGCCACCCTTAATGTTCTTTCTTTGTCATTGACTTTGACAGTTTTAATATAATGTGCCTTGGAGAAGGTCTTTTTGCATTGAGATAATTAAGAGTTCTATTAACTTCATGTACTTGTGTATCCAGTTCCTTCCCTAGGTTTGGGAAGTTCTCAGCTATTATTTCTCTAAATAAGCTCTCTACTTCTTTCTCCCTCTCTTCTCCTTCTGAGATACCCATTATTCTTATGTTGCTTTTTGAATTGAGTTGGATATTTCTTGTAGAATTTCTTCATTTTTTAAAATCTTAGTTCTCTCTCACCTGACCTCACCCGATCATTTCTAGATTTCTATCTTTGAGCTGGCTAATTCTCTCTTCCATATGGTCTACTCTATTTCCAATGCTGTATACTTTATTTTTCATCTCATTAACTGTGTTCTTCATTTCCGGAATTTGTTTGGTTTTTATTTTTGGAGTTTCAATCTCTTCCATGAAGTACTCCTTCTGTTCATTAATTTCATTCCTGAGCTCACTGAATCGGCTTTCTGAGTTTTCTTGTAACTCACTGAATTTCTTCATGACAGCTATTTTGAATTCTCTGTCATTTAGAGTATAATCTTCTGTGACTGGACAACTGTCATTTTCTTTCTGTTCTACCCTGTTACTGTACTTCTTCATGGTGCCTGCACCAGCACATTCGTGGTAGTAAACACCTTTCTTTTTTGAGTAAGACTTTGGTTTCTTTGGTTCTGAGCTGCTTCTGGTTGGATTTGAAAGCCTGCACTTTCCACCCTCCACTGCCTCAGTAGAGGCATCGTTGATGCCCTCCTTGTGCTGCTTGTGTCTCTGAGGTTGCTGGTGCCTTGCTGCTTATGATGTCACTGTAGTCACAGGTATTGCCACTGGGGTCACCAGGCTGTGAGCACCTCTGCTGCTTCTGGGGTCGCCTGGGTCTCATGTTCCCCCGCTGGTTCTCTGTGGGCTTAGGTGCTGCTGCCCTGTGCACCACCTGTGCTGCTGCTCCTAGGTTGTCTGGGGGGTGCTGGGTTCATGGGTGTCACTGCCACTGCCACTGCCAGGGGTCTGGGGTCTTGTATGCAGCCCCCATGCTGGTAGGGCTGGTGTCATGGGTACTGCCACTAAGGGCTGGTGGACTAGTCAATATTATTTGTAGATGAGTTGCATAAATCCCAGCATATAGAAGAGTTCTAAGATGGGAGAATTCTTGAAAATAGTTTTGCTTGAAAATGAATCCAGGACAATATCTATTCTTTCAGCTCTGGAAGTATTTTCTGGTTTTTCTTTTTAGACAAAATATTGTCTCAATTCCTCCCAGGTTTATTTGTATGTTTATTTAAAACAATGCTGAATCACTATAATAGAAAATCTATTTCCTTGCAGAAGCAGGAAGAAGCAAAAGTTCTGAATTAGATGCATATTTGTATTACAAGACTGGGTGCTTGTCTTTTGGACATTTTGAAACTTGGATATATTTTCAAGAATAGATTTTTAAACCATAACTAAAATAACAAGGTTAGAATTTGGTAAGCACTTATTAGATCTCATACAGGTTTTGGTATATATGATAATATGAAACTGTGAGACAAGAAGACATTCATCAAAAACCATGAAAATAAGAAATCTCTGAAAGATACTGTTTTAAAATTGAAGAGCTGAGAAGATAGAAGATATCAATCAAATTATGCACTGAGTCTGGCTTGTACAGCCTGTGGTACTTATTTCCCTTAATTACCTAGCAAGGAAAAATGGCATTTGAAAATTACTTTCTCACCATGTCAGACACTGTATTACTTTGATGTAGATCAGTGGCTCCCAAACCAGGCTGATCTTCTGAATATAGGTTCATACCCAGAAATTATGATTTTTGTAGACTTTGGAGTGTAGCCCAGGACCATTTTTTACAGGTTCCCCAGGTGATTAGGACGGTCTAACAAGTTTGGGAACCACTGATGTGGACCACTGTGTGTGCATTAGAAGCCCCCGCAGGGCATCTTGCTTGTTAAGACACAGGCTGCTAGGCCCCACCTTCCAAGTTTCTGACTCATAGGTCTCTGGCGGGGCCTGAGAATTTGCAGTTCCACTGAGTTCCCAGGAGATGCAGCAGCTGCTGATCCAGGGACCACACTTTGAGTACTACTGACATAGACCAACCCCAAGACTCCCCAGCTCCAGACTAGTCACACTTAACAAAGAAACAACAAACTGAATTTCATGGCAAGGTCTTCAGTTTATATGGCTTAAGCCTTTGCATTTCTTTCACATGTTCTACTTGGTGATTTTCTTCCTTCGGAGTGAGCAGTAATTGATGGACCGCTGTCCCTATGGAAAGTTTTGAATGGAAAGAAAAAGATGTTTCTGGCTAGGGTGGCTTGGTAGCGGAATGAAAATAGCCAAGGAGTTGTGCGGATCTGGGCTGAAGTCCCCATTCTTTCACCCTGGCTTTCTGTGATCTGGGCAGGTCGCCTAATCTTTCTGCACCCCAGCCATGGAGCTCCAGCCGTGGCTGCTTGCAGTGCTTCCCCCTGCCACGAGGCCTTGGCTCTTCTCCATGCCTGGAAAGTTCTTCCCCTTTCCCTAATGTCTTGTTACTGCTTGCTTAAACTTGGGTGTCTGCTCAATCATCACTTCCTCAGGAAAGCCTTTCCTGACCTCCCTAAGTAGGTCAGGCCCTCCTTTTTTACACATGCAGCACCATGTACCTGTGCTTCTCAGCATTGCCGCAGTTGCAGTTTCATCTTTCCTTGGGTGATAACTTGATTTGTCTCTCTCCACTAGACTGTAAGCTACGGGACTTACAGTGTACACTTTACAGTGTAAAATAAGGTATCATTTTTTGTTTCCTATTGTGTTCCAGCCACAAGCACTGTGCCTGCAACAGCAGTTGAATGAATGGCAATGAATGGGGCCCCAGTATACAAAGAGAGCTGCAGGGCAAGGTAAGCATTCCAAAATGGGCTGCATTCCTACCAGTGGGTTTCTAGAAGACACTCGGTTATTCTATAGGAAATTCCCTATTTTACACAACTGCACTTGTTAGTTTCTGTTCTTTGCCAGAGCCCTGGCAGTACAACTACCATTTATTGAGTTCTTACTATATATGTCAGGCACCACATTTGACATTGATCTAGGAGGTTGAGAATCTTAGTGTACTAATATCTAGGGCATTATTTTTTCATAAGATTCTAAAAACCAATGTGTATTGTAATGATATAACCTATAAATAGAAGATATATTTCCTTAGTTCTAAATTAAGGAAAAACAGCAGGAAGCAATTTTTTGCTCAAACTAGATCTCTAAGGGGGGTCTACAGGATCTGGGCTAAGTGATACCAAGGGATAGCAAGGTAATTTCCAACTCCTTGCAAATATGACAGCCCTCTCTCTATAGTAAAATCTCATAAGGAGTAACACCCAGAAAGTGCACTCACTTTCCAGAGACAGGGTGGTTTAGTTATTGGCCCAAACAAGACTTGACTAGCAATATTTATATATCCAAATCACATCTATGTCAATAAGAAAAGGGATTAATATCCTGAAATTTAGAAAAATCTAGATTCAGAGAGACGATGGCACTAAATAAGAAAGAGGGGACCCTGGCCCAAAGACTCAACCATTCTAGGTCCTGCAGACAGACCCGTGTGGTGGAAACGTAAGCAGTTCAATTATCCAGCTAATCATCCTGGCTCTGAGTCTATGTTCACAGGCAAGTTTCAGATGAATGTTGGGAGACAGTTCTCCCAGGGTCTCCTGGGTTTCCTTTGTTCTGGACAATCTTTTCAAGGGTATTTGTATAGCGAGCAGGCCTGAAAAGAGAGAGTGTCTCTGGAGCATAGGGCAGGCATGCTTATAGAAGATTCGGGTTCCCTAAGCTCAGGGTTCCTCTTCTGTAACTAAACCCACTGCATGAGAAGGTGTCATCTAGCCCTCTTCTCAGTGTCATGTGGGAATTGCGGCTTGAGGAACCAATGCAAAGGCTAACACTCAGGCTACTAGTATTTCCCTAAGTGGAAAGTCCTTTGTCTGATCTAGGAGCTTTGTGTCTTCCAGCATCCATGATACTGTGGCAGGCTAACTTGCGGTCATGCTGGCTCAGGTGTCTCTTTCCTCATGACAGTGATATGAGGGACTGATTTGCTTTTATTTGCTGACATAGTCAATTCTGATTCTACCAAACTGGGGACCAGTCCCTGGTCTTGGAGCATGAATTAATAGAGATAAATAAAGATGACCTGGAAGATAGCAACCAGCACCTCTGTTCTTAAAGAACTGTTGTTATAAAACCAGACTAAATGAGTTCCTTTACTGGACTCGTATCAGTGTTCAGCCAGGAGACAGAAACCACAGCAGGTATTTTAACAGGGAATTTAGCGTGAAGGTTTGTTAGCCAGGTATTAGGGAAGAGTAAAGGTAAAGAGGGGATACTGAAGTATCACAGAGGTAAGAATTACAGGAAGCAGCCATCACCTCTAGGGCTGGGGCAACAAAAGTAAGAGGCTGGGATTTTTTTGAACTCAGAAGCTGGGAGTGGGGCCCTGCAGACCTGAGACACAGACCTCTGAGCTGGAGAAGATGCTGCTTGGTTGGTCCTGGTTCCTCAGAAACTTTATGGGGAGAGTATGGAGCTGGCACTCAGAACTCTGATGAGCAGATGCTGGCCAGTTAATGCTGGTGTCTCTGAGCAGGGAGGAGAGGTGGTGATGAGGCTGATTCTGGAAGTGTTGGAAGCAACTGGGGCCACTGGAACCAACTGCTGCTGCTAGGATGAAGCAGGGTTGTGTGGTCAAGATCACACGCTTGGGAGCTGGAAACAAACAGCTTCCCAGATTCCCTCTAGTGCCTCTTATGAGCTGAGCCAAACAGGGAGCCAGCTGGCAAAGGAAGTATGGTGACAGAGTCCCAGCCCCAGCATCACAGAGCGGAGGATAGAAATAGCTAGCTCAGGATTTTTAAAAGCCTGTTTGACAAGAGGTTGGAAGGTAGGAGGAGGAAACGATTTGTTACCTGGGGGCTGTTAGGCAATTGCCTGAAGAATCTCCAGCATTAACTTGAACTTAATATCTTTTTTAGGTCAGGGAAGGGAGCAGCCATGGGCAGCTCACTTGGAAATCCCGTGTTATTACTTAGCAGCATGGACAATTATCTGGCCTACGTTGTGGGGTATGTTGGATGGAGGCAGGAAGAAACATGTTCATCTGAGCCAGGAGATGGGCCCGTTGGCAACTTTGTTAGATTGTACACAATTTTATGGGCTTGTCATAGAGCTTGTGCAAATTCTCATGTCTGTCCCACACCCTGATAAAGAGTGATATCTTCTAAGAGAGAGAACACCACAGATGTTTGATTACATCTCACCCATAATTTGTGGTCCACATGACGTCATTGTATACGGGCTGATTTATAAACTGTAAAGCATGACACAAATGAGAAGTGGTATTTATTATTTGAATCCTTTCTGTCCTTGGCTGAGTTCCAGGGAGGTGATGGGTTTCCATTTCTAAGGGAGGATTTCAGAGGAAATAAAGAGAATGGAGAGCAGAAGCTCAGAACTTACAAAATGAAGACAGTTGTTTTCTACGTTTAAGATTTGGTATTTACAAATAATGGCCCTCCTGACTATTCCTTTTGAAGCCAGAATTTGGACCCAGATAAACAGGACAAATATCTCAATAGAGAGCACTAGTCCATGTATTGTTGCTGATTTTAAATAACAGTGACTGACTTTGTCCATATAAGTATTTGAAAGTTTTATAATGGACTTTTTTTTTCCCCAAAATCCATTCATTTTAACTGAATGGAATTTATTTACAATCTGGTACCAGAATTGGACAAAAACTCATGCCATATCAAGCTTCCATGGTGGATGACAAGGTCTCAGGTGTTCTAGGAGTTGGTCTGGGTCTAGGTAAGGGGCGTTGTTATAATGCTATGCCGTTACATCAGCCTTTACTACATTTATCCAGTTTATTTTGTAGATCTGATTGTGAATGTGGAAGGCCTATTTCATTCTAATTATTGCCATATGACTTTCAGTTTAATAGTTATCATAAGTGAGAATTTAATTAAATCATCATCTGGATAAAATACATATATATAATAACTTGACTACTCTTCAAACGGAGCTTGGAAACTTTTTTTCCAAATGAGGAGGTGCACACACTTCCTTTGCTTTGTTTCTAAACTTAAAAAGAAAGAAGGTCTGAGGAGAGAAAGAGCCCATTCTGGGTGAAACAGTTTACCCGAAACTCTTCTGAGTGGTTGACTGGAATTGCTCTCCCTTTCCTAAGGCACTCCTCATGTCATCAATCATCAGAACCATTTACTAAACCCCTCTCTGGGTGTGGCACTATCCCAGGCCCTGGACAGTCTCAGGAAATGGGCACAGTCACTGCTATTTATGTTCATACTCTATGATAAGTACACATGCCTGTAAATAAATAAATGACATGGCAACACTGCAGAAAGAGAAGGGGAACAAGTATTCTGGGGAGGCCTGTCATCAGAGACTGCATAATAGTGATTTCAAAGGGGTTTTGAGGGTAAAGGAGAGCTCTTGCTCAAACAGGCAAGGTAGGAGGAGTGGTTCAGAAAGAACAAAGGGAAGAGTCTGCCTTGCTGGGCCTTGGGTGAGGGGCCCAGTCTGGCAAGCAGACAGAAGGAGTGAGAAGTTGGTTGTGTGTCTTGGCCTGAAGAAGAGCTTTGAAACTATGGGATCCTGCTAACCCTCTTTGAAATTAGAGACTGAGTATTCACACGGAAAATGGCCAGACCATATATAAACATAGAACTCTGGCCCGTGACCTGCAGCAGCCTACCCAAAAAACCAACCCATGACCTACAATAAAACACCCAGGGAGCCAGCCTCCTGTAAGTCAGGCTTGTAGGAAGTCAGACTGCTATCTCTAGTAACAATCCAGGAAGCCAAACAGTGACATCTGTAACAATCAGCCCCAAATGGCCAGTGCTTGATTAATAACTGACGGCTTCCCTATTTTGTCTCCACTTCCAACTAAGGACCAATCAGAGAAACCCAAATATGCATCCCTAACCAATCACATAGGATGCTCTGCTTCTAGTTAGCCTGACTCCAGCCTCCAATCAGGACACACCTGCAGCCTTCCCTTTGTCTCACTATAACACTTTCTTGCTCCTCTGCCAAACTGTGAGTCTCTGTCAAAACTCAAGGGACAGTGGCTGACGCCCTTGCTACCACAAGGTCTGAACAAATAGCCTTTGCTTTTCTCATTTGGTTGATCTTCATTTATTTCCACAGAAATATTGCTGTTGCCAGTTCTGACTCATCTGCTGCATAGCTTCCCCCTTGCATTTCTGTTTCTACTTTAACAAGCATTGTTTGTTCTTTATGTGGCATTTTTCCCAGAGAAATAATAGAAAAAGACAGATTAACAGCAATGCTGATGGGTGTCTGCTTTTTGAGGGTCACTAGGAAATGCTGTTGAGTGTCTCCTGTTAAGTAGAGTGGGAAGAACACGGGCTCCGATGGAACCGGCAATGCGAGAGAGCGCTGTTCTGATGGCGTCTGAGTAGCTTTTTACTTTTAAAGGACTGCTAAGGGGATATGCAGCTCCTCTTGGATCAGCAATCAGGAGTTGTTACCCTGTACTTAGTAGTACATCCTAGTCCTCTTTCTAAAAGTTTTATTATCCTGAGAGCAGCTCCGAAGGAAGATATTATTACTGTTCAACACTGCTAATGGTTGAGAACTGTCTATCAGCTACTAGGAAGTTAACCTTCTACTGAATGCCCTCTCGAAAACCATATTTGCTTAAAGGCGTGGGGCAATACTTAGGCTGCTTGCTAATTTGCCGAGTCTCAGACATATACACCTACTAGTAGTATAAGGAAAATCATAATATACTAACTGTAATAAGAATTCCAATTTGTCCTTGAATTTTCTTTTTACAACTCTAATGTGTGCATTGCTAAAAATTATAGTCTCAGCCTCCAGATGTCTAAGTCAAACTGCTTTTCTGTTCTCGAGAACAGTAAATTAACTAGTAATACAGATTCTGTGAGTAGCAAATGGTCAGTAAACATTACTATCTGACTGATGAGAAATCCTGATATTTACTTTCCTTATGCCCTCTCATCACATCAGGTATTCCATACACTGTGTGGTGGAGCCAAGTATGATTATGGCATGGACAAATGAAGGGAAAAGTAAGACTGCATGTGGAATCCCAAGCTCCTTGGGTTGCCCCAGCCTAACTCTTCAGCATTATCTTCCTCTAGGAATCTCCATTCTGGGCACACTGGTCTGGCCACTCCTGTCTACCGGCATGTCTTATGTGTACCTGCTTCCAAAGTTTTCTCATGTTACACCCTCACTTGCTATGTTCTCTCCACCACCTACACCTTCCCAAAGGTCCCTCATTTTTAAAAGCCCAGCTCAGATCTCACCTCCTTTTTGACATTTCTGTGATTGTCCTTACAAAAAGCGATCTTTTACCTCTTACTTCTCGTAGTAGTTATTGTCCATACCACTTGGAGTGCCCTTCAGTGTAGTCATCTGTGTAACTGTCTTCATTCATTCATTTGGCCAACAAACATTTAGTGAATGCCTACTAAATTCCAAGTTTTGTTCAAGGCAGGAGATACAGCAGTGAACAAAAAAGCTGAAATATTTTCACACTGGTAGGAAAGATTGACAATGAGCAAGATAAATACATGAAACACATAGTGTGTCAAATGTCAGTAAATGCTAATGAGAAAACGTAAGTCTGGAAAAGGTAGGTTACTGAGATTTTAGATAGGATGAACAGACAGGGTCCCACTGAGAAGATAATTTCTAAAGGACTTGAGGGAGCAAGCCGTGAAGATGTACCCTCAGTGTGGAATGCTCTTTCCTCCCCACACAAGTACAATGGCCCTGAGATGGCAGTTTATCTAGAGGATTCAAAGAATGACAAGGAGGGTAGTGTGGCTGGAGTGGCCAAGTGCATGGGGGGATAATTAATGGGAGGGGGCGATTGCCATGTAGGGCCTTGAAGATCATAGTTGGGATTTTGACATCTATTCTGTGTGAGATGGGAAGCCATTGGAGGGTTTGAGAAGTGACACACTCTAATTTGTTTTAAAAGTATCTCTTTAGCTGCAGTGTTGAGAATAGGTTGTGGGGGTGGGGGGCTTGGGGGCAGAAGCAAGAGTGACACTATTTCAGTAATCCAGGTGAGACATGGTGGTGGCTCAGGCTAGAGGAATGGGGAGAAGTAATCAAATTCTGTATCTATTTTCATGATAGGGTCAGTAGGATTTCCTGAGGGACTGGATGTAGAATGAGAGAGAATGGACTCAACGGTGATTCCAGGACTTATGGCAGGAGTAACTGGGAGAATGGAGCTGCCGTTAATGGGAATGGGGAAGAATGCAGAAGAGGCTGGTTGGAGGGACTGGGGGCGGTGGATTCTCAAGAGCTCAGTTTTAAACATGTTAAGTTTGAGATTCTCATTAGTCATCCATGTGCAGACGTCAAGTAGGTGGATGCTTCAGAAGGGCAGAATGCCTTATGCCCCATGAATCTTTGTGCCTGGTTTGTTGATTGCTTGGATCAATCAATTAATCAGCAGTGAACAATAATTCTGAATAGAGATTAGAGAGAAAAGCTATGAGATTTCGAACCCTAGACCGTGAGACAGGGAAAATATTAATTTAGTTTTGGATAGTCATGATGGTGATATTTCTGAAAATGGGTAGCTGATAAGGAAGAAGTGACCAGAAGTGTCATCTCTGTGCCATTGTCAGCATCTATGAAGTCTTAGATCATGAAATATTTATTTTCATTGGTTTAAGAAGAGCCCATAACATCTTCACTCTCCCCTGAAGACGCCATCAGGCCTCAGAATGTATGTTGTCATTGTTGCTTAAGGCGTTATCATTACTGCTATCAATGACCATCCCCTATTTTATGCAATATGTGTAATAGTAGAGGCAGTTTGATATTAAGAGTTCAGATTCTGGAGATAAAATGCCTGGATTTGAATCTTGCTTCTACTATTTATAAATTGTAAGACTTTTAGCAAGTTACTTAATCTTCCTGTGTTTCAGTTTTCTAATCTGTAAAATGGGAATAATACTAGACTTATCTCATTGACTCATTGGGAGAATGAAATTGTTAATATATTGAAGTGTTTAGAACAGTCTGGCACATAGTGAATCCTATATGTGATAGCTATTATTTTTATATCAAGCACTGTCACTGGGTGCCATGATGAACACTGAACTTGACATAATCCCTGGCCATGGATCTATTGATGATAATTGAGACAGATTATCTCACTGGGAAAGAAGAAAATGAGTTTAGAAGGCTCACTCAACTCAGAACTGCTGGTGGGGAGTCCAGAAATAGTTTTAACCTCTCATACAAAGTTCAACTTGATTTCCACCTAGCACTTAAATGGCAAAGCAAACTAATTGAGGGTCTCAGAGAGCCATAATTTTAATATTTGAGCAACTGCCACACGGAACAGGAAACTACAATGCTGGGCAAGTTTTCTAGACACCAGGCCATGGAGTACCCGGACTCGCACAATGCCTGAGTGTGGTCCTCCAGGAAAACGAGAGCAGTTCATCTCTGCCCCAGGGTTGAGCCCAGGAGGAGCAAACAGATAGGGCTGAGTATGAGGATGGTCTGCTGGAGCTG